AAACCACGATTTCTGCTTGGATTTTGGGGATCCTGCAATTAACAAAAGATAATTCTGTAAGAACATTTATCCAAGCTGCCATTAACCTCCAAATTAACATAACAAAAGAAGAGTTTAAAGATCTAACCTTTATTAGCTCAATGTGCTCAACCCCAGGACCAACCTCCTCAATGACTTTTCGAAACTCATCCTCAGTCCAGATTTTCGGAACATTACCAATGAACAATCTATGCTTTGTTTCAGAAAGTGAACATCTTAAGTTTTTACCCTGTAGAGATGAAACACATTATAGATCACAATCAGGCTGGACATATTTTAAAAAAGAACGAAGGCAATCCTACACAGCACTGCAAAAGAGAAACATCACTACCTTGAATGCTTTATTGTGTAATTCTTCAATGGCTTTTTGTGCAACCTCTTTAGTCTTAAATCCTATAAATGCATAACCCTTGCTTTCACCAGTTTCTCTGTCTTGCATTAATCTTATCTGCAAAATAATTAACGAATCAAACCCTCACAGAAAATCAAACTACCACTCCAGACAGCCCCAAACAGAAAGCCAAAATGTCAGAAGAACAAGAGGTTGCAGTTCTGACCTCAATAATTTCGCCTATTTCATCGCATAGATCCCTCAGATCTTCTTCCAAGGTGTCTTTAGGAAGTCCACCAATGAAAACTTCAGACCCATAGGGAGGAAGGGCAAGAAGTTGAGCATGTTTCTCTTTCTCCTCTTCATTGACAGAAGCAGAAGGTTTCTCTTCATCGTCCACAAATTCACCGGCATTATGGCTTTCATCTGGTTCTGGTGATTGGTCTTTCTCACTAGCCTTAGTTGTAGGATCTTCATGTGCTTCTTCAGCATTCTCCTCCACATTTTCATCACTACCTCCATCTACCCCATCCACTCCATCTTCATCTATTTGCTCTTCTACATCATCATCCATCTCTTCCATGTAGTTGTCTTCGTCAAGATCCACCCGCTCCTCAACTTCCGCTCCTTCTGCCATGTCTGGTTCAAGCACCAACTTTTGTCATCCAATAACTAATCCAACTGTCAACTGAATGGGCTGCAGGCTCGTAAAATAATTATGGAAATTGCGCCGACCCCATGAGAATTTGCATGAAAGGCATACATATACACTAGTGAAGAACTAACAAATGTTAAGCTCAGAAGAACTTCCGAAGCAAGAAAAACACCTAATAGTTGTTTCTAAGCAAGAGGCAATGGAAAACCCAATGCCAAGGGAGACTTGTAAGAAATGCAACAAGAGACTGGCCAACTTTCCTGGACGCCCCATGGTTGCTGGTAAACAACACAGAGACCTTATAATTGGCAATCCAATTATAGAACATTTATCAAATCCAAGTTTTCTTTTCTAACCTCGTGAATCCATCAAGCAAATGGAGCACAAGAAGATAGTAGTAAACAATGTCTAAATATAACATAAGGGGTTATGCACTATTTTGTTCATGCACGAGTGTCAGAATAACTATAAAAAAATGTTAAGCCAATAGTTTTTGCATTTAAGGATTACCGCAACCTAAAAACAACTTAGATTAGAAAAAAAACACAATGCTTTCTTTCTAATATAAGTAGATAACAGATACTATACTAGGGCTAACCCCTCTCTGCCTCCACATTACAGTTAGTTCAAAGGGGTAAACAAATTCATCTAAGTGAAATAGACAAAACCATTGATGAAATTGCCGTAGATAAAAAACCCAATAGAGAATACAACTACTTGGCTGAGAAAAACCCCTGCCCAACTGAACAACCCAAGCCAACCAATCCTATGCCTATAACAATGGGGAGAAAGAAAATCAATTAGCACAGAGAGAAGAACTACAGAACTAGACAAAGACAAGGCAACAGAACCCAGAAAAGGAGAGATTTTGTGGATGTGAGAGTTATGAGAACGCTCAAAAGCGAATCAGAAATACATGGGGCAACGCAACTAAGGCATATAAAAAGTCACACCACAACATCAGAAAAATTGAAACAGAGTGAGACTTTGCGTACCAGTGGTTTTGGGAACAAAGATTTGGTTGTTGGGTTTTTGGCGTCTGGGTTTCTCTCTCGTACTTGGGGAAGAAGAAGAAGAAGAAGAGAGGCTTCGAAGGGTGTGTTTGTGTTGTTATCCGACGAACCCCAAATGGGTCTTCTTTCCCGAATGCCCCTATTTGGGAAAGAAAGTGAGAGAAAACGCACAATGAATGCGGTTACACCTCATTCTTGTGAGGTTAGATACTTCTACCAATGAAAATACGCCATGACAGCGCCACATCACAATTATGTTTTTCCTCGTCACATTTTTGTTTTTCCACTTGTATTTAGTATCCACTTGTATTTAGTATAAAAATTATACAAATTTAGAAATAAACCCAATTCTAGACATGTATTTATAAAAAAACCCAAGCACTATTTAAACATAGAAACACACCCAAAATCAACCATAAAGTCAACTTTTTGGGTGTGTTTATAAATGGGTTTTGAGTGTTTGTAATGATGGGTTTTGGGTGTGTTTATATGTTTAAATAGTGCTTGGGTTTTTTTATAATTTCAACCCCCATTTTGGGTGTTTTAGTGAAACTCCCTAAAAATTATGCTAAGGTAAACTCCAAGGCATGAAAAAACTAGAGTGCTGCTAAATGGATCCTAAAATTAACTGAGTACACCATAATGTTTAAATTAAATAGTAAATTACTCAAATGGTCCTTAAACTTGTACTCGATTTACATTTTGGTCCATAAATTAAATTATTAGTCCAAATGGTCCATTAACTATATATTAATCGCTCCATTGGTCCTATCGTCTAAGTTTCTGTTAAATGTAACCAAATTTTAGGGACAAATATGACTTTTCATAATTAACAAATAAAATAAATACAAAATTAGAAAAAAATTTGAAGAAAAAGATAAAAAAAATCATGAGACCCAAACCCCCTCCCTTCAATTTCTTCTCCCCCATTCCCTATAGACCTCTCCAATTACTGTGTTTGTAAAAAAAAAAAAAAAAGGTTTGTCAATGGCTTTCAACCATCTAGCCCAACAATTAATATTCAAAATAATACTAACAAAGGTTATTGAAGAGACACAAAGGAAGAAGAAAGCTCCTAAGGAGGTGGGCAATGGCGAAAATGGTGGGAGTGTTGTCCTTGGTATTGATGGCATAAATCCCCCAAACCCTCGCAGCAATTTCAGCGTCTTGGCCGAATAACTGGTACTTGTACTTGGAGGGTGAGAAATTGACAGTTGCTGTGATTTTGGGAGGTGGGGTTGGCGGGTGATGAGGTGGGGAGGAGAGTGGTGGGTGGTGGGTGGTTGTCTCTCAACAACAAAGGGAAATCAAGGGATAGGGGGAAAGGGTATGGGTGGTTGTTAAGTTGGGGTTCTGGAGGGGGTTTGTGGAAGATTTTTTTTCTTTTCTTTTTTTGTAGTTGCTGGCTTGGGTGGAGGGTGGGGTTTTGGGTTTATAGGGCCTAGGATGGAGGGTGGTTGTTGGATGGGTTTGGGTGGAGAGTGGTTGTGGGATGGGTTTAGGGGTTGGAGCTTGAGGGTGGTGGCCATAGGGGAATGGGGAGAGAGACAGAGAGTTTTTATTTATTTTTAACGTACGAAATAACCAATTTGCCCTCATATTGAACAACAACATTGACAGAATGTAACGATAGGACTAATGGAGCGATTAATATATAGTTAATAGACCATTTTGACTAATAATTTAATTGAGGGACCAAAATATAAATCGAATATAAGTTTGAGGACCATCTGAGTAATTTACCCTTAAATTAAAATGTAAAATTAACTAAGTACACCCTATTTAACTACCAAAAATACCCATGGTACACCTTCTTTAATTTTTAATCTTTTAAAGTATTTAAAAAAATAAAAAATTACAGTAAAATAATAATTTAACAAAAAACTCTCTCTCTCCTGCTTCTTCTTCTTCTTTTTTCTCTCTCTCCCATGTGGTACCACCACCACCTGGAATTGCAGTTCTCCACCACGACAACCATGGGTTTTTTAAGAAACATCTGAAGTGGGATTGGGATTAGATTGTTGCATTTGAGAATTGGGTTTTAATGAGTTGCCGTTGGAGTTGAAGGAGAAATGATGACTAGGGTTGTTGAGGGGGGGGGGCGGCGTAGAGAGTAGGGTCTCAAGGGAGTTGATATCTGCCTTCCCAAATTCCCCATCTGCTCCTGTCCTTTATCTAAAATTTTGACACGTGTCTCCACCTTTAACAATACACAAACACTGTTAACTTGCATAGAAAATAATGTAAAATAACAATAGGCATTTTGAACGCATCTTCTCCCTCAACCATGGCAGTCACAGACTCTCCTAGCCTCCAACATCCCAGCGGAAGTAAAATCTGTCACCCATCTCTCCTATCTTCAACCTCGCAGCGAACTCTTTGGGTGTGGGTTTCCAATATTTCAGCATGAACTGGTTTGTGTTATTGATTGTTTAAGTTTTATGCATACAAAAATCAACTTGGATCAAAACACTTCTCCTGGATTCTGTGTTGTTTGTTAAAAATTAAGTCAATTTGTTTGTGCAGGCATGGATTCAAAGCAATAGATACCAATATTATTTTATCTTTTTTTCATTTTATATTAGGATAAATTAGTAATTCAATAAATAGTTTGGTAAAAATGTGTATTCATTTAATTTTAGGATTCGTTTAGCAACACTCAAAAATTATGAGCCAGTAATTGATATGAGTTTTGTCATAGTCTAACACTAATCAAGGGTTATCACGTTATCGAGCCATTAATTAAGATTAATATCACTACACGCGGGAACTCGTGTGAGGGGGTTTTTGTTTTTGCTTTTTTATCACATCGCGAAGCTTACACTAATCAACGACCATCACCCAGACATATGCGAGGATAAATGACCGTTGTGTTGTATTCTCGGCAATCTTGGTGTATTTGGTATGCTTCTATGGGACTAATGACTAAATTACAAACACCCACTACAAAGAGGTATGGGGATCCAAGTGAAACTTCTGAAAAAAATTTGTGTGAGGATGTGAACTGTAATACAGAGGTCAATTTGTCCACTATGTTTTGCGCATCAATCAGCTGTGCAAAACAAATTTGAATTCTCAAAAAAAGCAAAACAAACTCATTATCTAATATTGATATTGTGAATTTTAAATCACCAAATTCCTGGCTACCATTATCAGAAAGGAGTTTGGACATGATAGTTGGAAGGCGAACAGAACCTATCATGCCCTCAACAATCTCCTTGATGAACCGAGAGAACAATTTTCTTAAGATATGAACACCTTTATGGAGCTTTAAGGCATTGCTGAAATGCTCAGTACGTCCAGAACCACTTGATACCAGAGTTCCCATAGCAGCATCCAGCTTGATAAATTTTTCATTAAGGGTGGAAAGTGTAAGTGAAAGAGCACTGCCAACATCACCAACCCTTCCCAACAAGAATGATGCAGCATCTGTTATCCCATATTTCTGGCACAGGCGTAAACAGTGTTCCTTCTACGCGATAGCTATCAAAAGTGTCTAGGAATTTGAGAACTCCATTGCGCTCATACTGACATAACAGCTGAATAGGTAAAATATGAAACAGGGTAGCTACGAAACACGCTCACTCAACTCTTACAAGTCTCGTATTTAAAATTTGGCCAAAATGAATATACTGGCATGATAAGAACAATATTATCTCCCTCACAAAGAGAATATGATGCAACTGCCAAAATGAATATACTGCCAAAATGAATATGAATATGAAACAAAATGAATATACTGGCATGAATATACTGCCAAAATGAATATGAAACAAGGAAGGAATAATTGTTTAACTGAGCACTTGATTTGAAAATATCCATAAAAGAAATGAATCACAAAGAGAATATGATGCAACTGAAACACAGAATCATTCAATAAAATCAAATTAAAGAGGAAATAAAAAAACTAGATATAATTGTACAAAGACCTCACCTCCAAATAAAGTTCAATCATATCATCGGTCAAATTAACAGGATTGTTACGCAAAAGCTTTGGGAAATCAGAGATCCTTTCCAAGTAAGCCTCAACTGCTTTTGATTGATCCTTTACCCTCACACGATCATCTTTTCTTAAACTTGAAAAGTCGAGGGCCAGATAAGTGAACCTCAATCACCGAAGAATAGGCTTTTTGGATGGGAACGAAGTTCAGAAAGGATATGGGAGCCTTCTTCACTAGTAAAATTGTTGATAACCAAGACGAACGTGCCTTCTCTGCATAGAATAAGAAAATAATTGAGATTGAATTACTGAGAAGGAAGACCTCCACTGAAGAAAATAACCTACATATTACTTAACATATGAAAGATGAAAAACAAAAGAGAAATTCAAGATAACTAAGGGATAACCTATTTAAGTAAAAAAAACTCTGGAATTTGATAAATTACTTCTGATTGAAAAACAGGGGATTCATTGTCAGTCAGCCACAATAATATTTTGTTAATAAAGGAGAAGGCATGAACGGGTTCATCTATATCTTTCATGTAGCAGTCCAGAGCAGCAAGATACTGATGTCTGCTGGTATGAATTAGGCCACAAACCTAAAATACTCCAAGAGACCTTGTAGTGAGTAATCTCAAACTGAACGAATTGTAACAACATGATTCTGAGACAACATTGTAAGATATTGGTAAATTTACATGGTAAAATCACGCTTTCTCATAAAATGAATCCCAATCGGTCTCAGGCACTACCTCAAGAAGGCCAAGAACCTGTTTCTCTCTTCTTTTTGGAATTATGCTATCTCCAGCAACCCATGATGGAAAGTTATTCTTTGACGTCAAATACTCCAAAATTTGAGACAATACACGTTTCAAGACATTAGCTCTTCCACATGCAACATAGTACGCAGTAAACTCAAACAGATGACCAATGTCTTTCTTTGAAGGCCAGTCTGCTATTGATGCAGTGTCATCATTGCCAGGAGATCCATCTATTAGGGAGATACCCTTAATAATAATATGAATGAGAGTATCTACTTTGAACCATTGAATTCTGACTTTGTGCCATTGAATTGTTCCCATCCGGCAGCTCCATATTTGCATCAGCTGAATCATGAGAATAAATGTTGGGTTTTGAGATTTCATCTTCAATGAAAGCGCATCTCAGAACGTCTAAAGTAGCTTCAGTATCTAGCTCAAGAGAAAATACAAGTTAAGATATTCTCCTGCTGCTCTTGAATTAGGAGCATCAGAACCCTCCAATAAAAATTGCAGAAGTTCTGTTCTGACTGAGAGATGGCAAGCGTGAGAGAGGAATTGTTCCCTGTCCTGCAAATAGAGATATTTAATTCAAACTCTCTTAATCAGATTATGTAAGTTAACATCCAGCAAGAAATGAAGCTATGCAACTAATTCAAAATGTGTTCCAGTATAAAAGAATGTTAGTCTTCCTTCACCACTTCATATTTATACTGCACGATTTATATCTCTTTTTCTATGAATAGTATAGTTCAAGACCCACACAACCAATTCTAGATGGGATTATCGCACAGAGGGATATACTGTGATATTCCAATTGAACAACTCCAATAAGTGAAGTCCATACCTAGTGGAAAAACAAGGCCTGAAAAGCAGTACTTCAAATAAACTAGCATCCTGTTACTGTAAACAAGAACAAACTAAAATAAGGCCACTTAAAAGCCTCCTTGGAAAACTGACAAAATGCAGCCAAAAACTAACATGAAATGATGTGATACAACTCATTATATTCTCTCAGAAGGATAATAATAAGGGGTAGAGATGATAAAGGATGGAAGGAGAAGCAAACTAAAATACCAAAACACCCATGTCGGTGGAGTTGCAGTTGCTTCAAGCAAGATTGCATTCTTTTGAAAAGCACTTGCCACGTTTATGGCTGGATTAGTGACATACAAAAAAGGTAAAGCCAGTAACTTGACCAAAACCAGGGAGCCAAATACTAAGAAGCATCTAATAAGCTCTCCTCGGTTTAGCCCGTATCTTTTTTATCAAGTAATCCTCCAAACCAATAGCTGCCTCCACTATTCTGGTGTTTGGCCTAATTTCCACCTTCATTACCTCTCTCAGAATTTCCTCCAATCTCTCTAGCTCAATCTCTTCGCATATCCCAGGAACTATTGTAAGCCAAGTATCTGTATGAGGAACCTCCCCGTGCTTTAGCACCTCTTCCAAAACTGCAAAGGCTTCCTCAACCCTACCCACATTACAGAATCCTTTAACTAAAGCATGAACAACCGAAAAATGTGGAGAAAACCCCTTTGATATCATTGTGTCCATATAACTCTTTGCCTCATCAAGCATCCCATGATCACATAACCCGCTAACCAAAGTCCGATAGGACACCAAATTTGGCAAGCACCCATTTGATGCCATATCCTCAAGAACCTTACAGGCATCAACTGGACGCCCTTCTCTACAAAATCCTAAAATAACAGTATTGTAATGCACAATATCAGGATTGCACCCCTTAACCTTCATCCTACAAAGCAGCTTATACGCCTCACGAAGCTTCTTCTTCCTACACAAACTATTCAACAAACTAGTGTAACTCAACGAATCCGGAACGAACCCTTTGTTCAACATGTCCTCCAAAAAATCAACCGCCGTATTCACCTGACCCTTCCTACACAAGCCCTGCATCAGAATCCGATACGACTGCACATCTGGAACAAGGTCTCTCTCAAACATTTTGTTGAACAGCTGGTAGGCAATGCTAAGATCCCCATTCAAACAAAAAGCACGCATCAAAATGTTGTAAGACTGAGTATTGGGCATCACCCCATGACGGTGAGCGTCCTTGAAGATGTCGAACGCCGGGCGGAGAAAGTTCCGGTGAGAAACGAGGATTTGAAGAATGCGATTCAGGTGTTTGACGGAAGGGCTGCAGTCAAATTCCACCATGGTGTAATAGGTTCGGAGGGCTTTCTGTGGCAAATTGGCTTCGCCGTAAATCTTGATCAAGTGGGAAAAGAGAGCCGGGGAGACAGAGTAGTTCGAGGTCTTGAGGCGGATGAGGAGGTCGTCGACGAGAGAGAAGTACTTGGAGCGGCCGAGCTTGAGGATGAGAGTGAAGAAGGAAGAGTAGGAGTGGCGAAAATGGGGTTGGCGGGCGGCCAAGTCGAAGATCTCTTTGGCGAGGAGAGGGTCTGATTGTGAAGCGATGAGATTTTGGATCCTGGAAGGGGAGCCGATTGAGCCGATTTCGTGGTTCTGGTTATGGGGTTGCGATGAGAGGAAGAAGACGAAGGAGGAGGGGAATGGGGGTTTAGGCGGGAGGGCCAGAGAGCGAGTGACCGTTACTGCGGCTTTTGATGACCGCTGAAAGAGCAGATGCATTTTTTCTCTTTGGTTGTTTCGTGTTCTGTCATTCCCAATCCTAGCTACACAGTCTATATGATATGAGAGTGGAAAATACAGAGGCAAACGACGTCAAGTATTAATACTAAACTAAACTATTTATGATTTTTTTTTTTTTTTTCTGAATACAAAAAATAGTCTAAACTACAAAGAGAATGAGTTTTTAAATACACACACTACCAAGGGGTCATTCCCAATCCTAGCTACACAGTCTATATGATATGAGAGTGGAAAATACAGAGGCAAACGACGTCAAGTATTAATACTAAACTAAACTATTTATGATTTTTTTTTTTTTTTTCTGAATACAAACAATAGTCTAAACTACAAAGAGAATGAGTTTTTACATACACACACTACCAAGGTGTCATGAGCTTTTGAACCTAAGATCATTGATCTACAAATTAATGCCATTTTCTATTAGGCTAGACCTCGTTAACATATCATTTATGATTATAATTCCATGAATTCACAAGTTTTTTGCTTAGTCCAATAATGAACTGATGTTCGTAAATTTGTGACCAAAAATATATTTAACTCAAAAATTAATGCTCAATAATACAATCAAATAAAAATTAATAAAAATTAAGTCATATCAAAGATTAATTTTACTCCAACCAAGTATTTAATTCGTCCAACTATCAAAGATTACATGAGTAGTAGTAGGATATCTAGTGAGTGAGCTTTTGAATGGACAATGTCAAGTTGCCCTAGCTATAGCTTCAAATTTCAACCGACGGAAGAGGAGCTCGAAGATCCATTTAGATGTAATTTGTGATCTAGACTAGTTAGCGGCACGGTTCTTAGCCACAAAAGTACAAATCCTTGCACCCTCAAAGACTTTCCCAGGTCTACACAAGTATCCCTTGCTAGGGGCACAATGGATGTCCTGTGAGCAAATGCACAACCCTTCTAGTGCACACCCCTCTTTCACTATAGTCACCCCACCCTTAAGTCCAAGGACTTGGTCTGTCCATTCACTAGAGAAAAGCCCCATTGGATCATAAACATCTTTAACCCTCAAGAACTCTTTGGCGCGCTTGTACTTTTTCATCACTCCATCAAAGACTATGTTCCTGTTCTTTCCCCAATGTGGCAATGCTCCATACTTGAACACCGCCATCTGCTCTATTTCTTCAAGTATGCCTTGGTAAAGCCTAGGAGCCATGGGGTCTTTGCTTCGATAGTACGTGATATCGAAGTCAATTGCATTTTCTTGCTTGCCAAGGTAAGCGCTTGAGGCTGTAACGTAGCGCAGAAGGATGCCATTGTAGATATCTACTCCACACAGAGCTTTGGGTTCAATCTCCACCAGCTTTTTCACATCTTGAATGAAATTTTTAGCCACGGACAAGCTGATGCTGAATGTTGTTTGATGAAAAAACTCTCCCTTGATCCTGGGGTCCCATGCGCATGCCGTTATCCTTGCATCCTCAAGACTGTCTAGGCAGGTCCCGGATGCTTGAAGGCGGTTCTGATATCCAATAACAGGATAGCCAGTAAAGATCACACCTATAAATTCAGTAATTAATTAGATAATGAACAGAGCAATATGTACAATTTTGATTGATGTTTTTGAAGTTTTTTCTTTTTTGCTTTTAGAAATGAAGTTGAGAATGATTTGGCAAGACAAGCAAGGCAATAATACCAGAAAGAATTAATGCATACCATTGTTTGTTAAACCATAAGCATTGTTTATGAGAGCAGATGTGACCAACTTTGCACCAGAGCATTTCCCATCAGCATCCCTAGTGGATTCTTGATTCTCCTCTGTCACAATAACAAGAATTTTATTTTAAATGTAACTTTTAATTAGCTATGATGGCCATGCATATGCAAAACGTGCACTATATAAATAAAGGGTGCCATGTTGGGTTGTCAGACTTTGAATGAGTACATGAAACCATCTACAAGCATACAATTTTGATTCACAATCTGACAACATAAGACGTCCATTGTCAAATAGATCATCTCTCCAATGGACTAGTTTACAATTGATTCATCCTTCATACAAGATCGGTCCTCGTTCTGGCTAATGCAATTTGCTTGAATTGAACTAATTAAGGTAATTAAGCTAGCCAAACCTGTGGTTCTGATAATTGCAAGTTCAAGTGAAGATGTGGCTCGGAAAGGAATGAAGTCAAAGAAGCCATTGCCAGAGGTATTTGAGGAGACACGATCATCCATCCGATAAACTGCCTTGTGCTGGCTGGGGTACCATAACACGTCTGCAAACTCATGTTGCTTGCCAAACCCAACTACTTGATCTCCCAAGTCAGAATCGCTCTTGCGTAAATATGTAATGGATCGCTTAAACATGGGTTGCAAATTTAGAGTAACCTACCAAAGACAAAGTTGGACAAAATTTAGCTTTTGTCTTTGATTGCAAACTAAATCAAATTATAAAAATAAGATTGTAACTTTTTAAAACTCAAGTGAAAATCTAATTATTGAACTACGTGGCCACAAAATGAACATGAATGTGTGATTTGATTTACAGTCTAACAATATTGTTTAGAGCCTAATGATTTGTGTTAGATGCCGTAGTAGTACATATGGTACTCGACTATAAATTGTATTAATTTAAATAAATAAAAAAGAGTACCTGTGAAATTACTCCTAGAACTCCAAGTGAAACTTTGGCTGCATTAAGATCTTTATCACCATCACTGAGCCTCCGAATCTTGACATAACCATCTTCAGGCCCTCCTGGACTCGCAATTCTAAGCCCCACCACATAATCATGCACCGAGCTTCCCTTTCCCCATAATGTGCTGCCATGTGCCCCAGTCCCCAACATACCTCCAATGGTCAAGCCCCACCAATATGGTGCATAAGGCAAGGCCAGCCCTACCTTGGCAGCCTCACTGATGAGCTGCTTGAGAGTCACCCCACTCTCGAATGTCATGGTCTTTGCTTCAGCATCAATCTCCACCACACGATTGAGGTACTTGGTGCTTATGATCAGCCCATCTGGGCCCCCTGGGCAAACCAGCTTTGGAATGCTATGAGAGAAACGAGTTGCCACCTTCATTTTGGTCTTGCTCTTTGTTGCATAGGCCACAACTGATATTAGTTCTTCCTCTGTAGAAGGGTACGCTACACTGCCTGCCCTACACACCGTTCGATCGGGGAAGATGCCATAGGAGTTTGTGATGGTGCAGTTTGTGTTGCTGGATGATGAACACTTGATGTGCTCTTCTGGAGGAGTTGAAATGCAGACATAGAATGACGATGAGAACAGACAAGTGAAAAAGAGAAGGAGCCCCAGCAAACCTGATTTTGTGTATAACAAAGACATGGTTGATGGGTCTTTTTCTTGATAGTGTGACATTGTAACATATAGTTGTTTGGGCTATATAAAACTTGTGTGTGTGTGTGTACATATATATACACTTTACAAGAAATGTAAAAGATTTAAGCTTTGGAATGCTTTCAAGTCAATGCATTATTAGTGACCAGCTATCAGTTATGTTTTCTACCAAAAAAACAAGACTAGCAAGTAATGGGTAATGGGATTTGCTATTTGATTGGGTTTAGATCATTCTATCTTTTTTCCCATTATTGATATTGTTGGCTGCTCGTGATCACAAGTTGACAGGTGTGGGGAATGTGGGTCAGTTTATTTTGTTTAACTTGAAATCAAGGAGTGTTTGTTGCTTGCAGGGACTGGTAGCTTCAAAATGAATAAATTTTTTGAAGTAAATAGACAGATAAAGAGTGGAGGAAGGGAAGACATATATAGGTGTTGGTTTTGTATTGTGCCACCCACCTGTTGAAATTCTAAACAAAACTCAACCTAATCCCTATCAAAAGTAACTCACATTTTCAAGCTAGTGGATTATGCCAGCACAAAGACTAGTTGTTTCTATAGTGTGGCACTAGTTAATGGACTGTCCTTTGTGGAACTGGCGGTGAATGTATATACCTATCTCATTTTTTGATACATACCTATCTCATTTTTGGATGCACCTTAAATGATAATTTAAAATAAACTATGGGAGAGAGGGATTCGAACTCGGGTGCAGAATGGAGAGCACATCTACTATAACCAACTTAACTAAACCCATGTATGCTTTCGATACACCTTAGTCACTGAAAAAAGCTCAGAGTTTGGGGGTTCCTAAATGCACCCAACAATTTGCTCAATGCAGTCACCCCATCCCAGCCATGTCTCTGATTTTTCTTGTTTGATATTTTTAATCCATAGATGGAAAGCCCAATTGCTTGCAGAATCCATACGCAACCCTTTATTTATCTTAACATGAATTATACTCCAACACCACATATATTCAGAAACAAACTTATTTTGACAAGTTAAAGCTCGTTTAGAGAAACATTTTCATTTTGGGTTTTTCTGTTTCTTTATCTAAATTTAGGGTATTATCATATGTATATATATTTGTACATAACACCTATTCTATCTATGACCTGATATTAGCAAAACTCCTCTGTGTGTGTATACAGGTCACCCACCACCACACATAATACCTAATCTTCTCAATTTTCTTTTCTTACTATATATGAATACAATGAAGACCCAGAAAAAAAGTTAAAATAAAAAAATGCAGGCTAGAAGAAAATGAAATGCTTGTTCTTCTTCTCTAGCATTTATCCAATTGTAATTTGTATGTGTGTCTTGAAATTCTTCCCTCCACAATCAAGTGTAACCAATATATAAACCAAGAACTAAGAAAAAGAAAAAAGAAATCTATTTTGTTTTTTTTTTTTAAAACTGCTATATTGTATATATAAAGAGTTGGGATAAATTTGTTTGAAGTGGGAGATAAAAAATCAAGGCATCATGCAGTTTCAATTTCCAACGAGTGTTATGCAAAGTCGTCAACTTGAGAGCACATTTGCAGAGACATAATCATACAGTAGGAAAAAGCAAGAGGTCACTTTTCAGAGGCAAGGCTTGTTTGCTGTACTGAGATGCACATGGGCACTGTCACTGGGAGTTGTGGTGAAGTCTAAAGAAAAGACTTTGGATAAGTCATTGCACCTTAGTGGGGTTGGAGTTTAGAAACACATGGGATATCACTGTTTCGTTATTCCAACTAATCAGAGCATGCATGAAGATAACTTCCCCATTAACAGTGCTGGTGTTGAGGAAGAGCTGAACATCATAAACACTTTTTTTTTGGGGTTAATTACCCAAAATAAATAAATAAATAAACAACGCCAGCAGCTTCCAGGAAACACGACACTTTTCTAATTTGTTAAATGCTTGGAAAAGCATATGCATAGTGATTCAAAACAAGAAGCAAAATCTCATGGGATCTGAGATGACATGATTTTTGTTCAGCTTCAAAAATGACCATTGCACAATGAAAAATGAACAACTTATTGTTCCCACAAAATGCATTGTGCCACGAAGTTTAAGAGTTTGGATATGTGGGTTTGTGGAAATTGAGTAAAAAGTAGAACACTGAAAGCAGGACTAGATTACAGAGTTCTGATGTAATTTCAGTGCAAAGAGAGTGAGAAAATAATCACCAAAGTTACAGAGTTTGTTAATAATGACACACTTACACCTTCAACTACAAGCCAATCATCAGAAAGGAGGAGGAAAAAAAAAACTTCAATCAGATTCATCCTACTATCTATGCAAATACTCACTACACTGCTCTCTAAATTACATCCCAATTGCCTCTAGATCATTATTTAATGGTCAAAACTACATCCTAATCACAATTCAAATCAGACTAACATTGTCACAAAGTTACAGCTCACACTCCCCCATCAATTTCAGCCATTAATCACCTCAACCACCTTCTAAGGTCACTAGTTGAAGAAGGGGAAACCTCACCACCATGACTCTCAGTGCAACAAGAAGAATAGTTAGACTGTTGCTCCACTCCAAAATGCGATGCAGCCACACTCTTGAAGCTTGGGCTCCTCAAGCTATGTCCATAACTGCCATACCCCATTGCCACACCGTAAGGATCAGGAGCTGGGAATGAAAGCCTTTTCTTTGCTGATCCAGCTCCCCGTTCCCGGTCTGGTGTCGATGGTCTTTGTCGCGGTGCACTCTGAGAGCGTATCCGAGCTTTGGCAGACTCAGTTGCTGCCATGTAATTAGGCAATGTAGCAACACTATTGCCACTAGTGCTTGTACCACCACCCCTGCTATGTTGGTGCATAGCACCACTGTAGAAATAGTTTGACCTAAGGCTTGGAGTTTGAGATGCATTAGAGCTTCTATCTTCTCTAACACAATGAGGGCTGGCAGACCGGACTTGGATAGGCCGGGTTTTTGATGGGGAGGGTGTGACAGGGGACTGGTGATGAAAGGGTTGGCTTTGGTGGGCTCTATCTCTATGGAGTGGTGAACTAGGTCTTTGTTTTGGTGAACTGGGTCTTTGTTGTTGGTGGTATTGGCTTGAACTTGATCTTCGGAAGTTAGGTGCTAAACTTGAATAAGGCTGAGAGGTGTCGATTTCAACTGTCTTGATGGGGTCTCTATGGTCAGTTGAGGCTCTTCCTCTGCTGTCCCATGGCTTTGGGGCCATCCATCTATCTAACCATTTGGGTCTCTCTTCAAGCTCATCCTCATTTCCGATTGATGGGCTCCTACCATTCCTCCATATCTTTGATTATGCAGAGAAATTGAGACCAATTAGCTCATGAATGCAATAAAACCATTGAGAAAAAAACAGAGCACAAGGACTGAAGTGGATGATAAACCTGTTGAGAGAAGGCGTGGGACAAGGCTTTCTCACGCTTCATTGCAGCATCTTTTCTGTGTTGCAACATAGCTTTTACCTCCTCAATTGTGTGGGGGCGTTCATCCCAATCATCTGCTATGCTACTTCCCTCTCTAGACTGCTACAAACAACACCCAAATGCTTTTAATTTTGGAACTGTTTATTTGGTTCTGGTAGTGGAAGTACCAACGGGGAAGACAAGTACTTCCACTGATGTTCAATTTATAAGACTAATCATAACAACGAAGTTATATTCTAACATTATGCACTAATTAAATTGCTTTCTTACTTCAAAAGCATGAAAAGCACTTGAGTGTTGATGATTGAAAAAATGGTTGGTATTTGAGAATGAATCTAAGTAACTCACCATGGACTTTCTGTCTGAAATGTCCTGAAGATACCTTGATTCCCAAACGCTATTGGTGTCACTAAATGCAGACTTTCTGCTGCCTTCATGAGAGAGCCTGGTGCGCTGATCAAGCACCCGAGCCTGCACACGAACCAGAGCTTGCATGCACTTGAGAGTCATCTTTGCTTGCTTTCTCACATTGTGACCTCTCACCAAAGCTTGCAACTTTACAAGTCCTTTAAGCGCACGAAGTGCCCTCCTTGCCTAGAATACAAACACAAACACAAAACCATCAAAACCCAGTTCCCCTTTCTTTCATTTTAACATTCCCAGCAACCAAACAGAGCTTTAGATCTACACATGTACATGTTAATTGCTGTGCACCTACCAAGTATCCTCTAAAGGCAGTCTGGATAACAATGGCATAATAGTGCTCTCTAGCATGATTAGAAGGCCTAGTTAGCCGAGCCACTTCGGCTGCTGCTTGGGCAGTTGCCATTGCAGCCTCAGCTGTGGCCACAGCCACAGCCAGCACATGCTTTTGCTCTGCAGCTGCAGAACTGTTGGCTGCTGATACATGGTCTGTGGCCTTTGGCGCTTGACCTTGTTGTGTAGCTGTTTCTTGTTGATTTAAATTTGTGGGTTTCCTGAACCACCTTCGCTTCTCTCTTTTCTGCACAAAACCCAGAAAACAGAAGTAAATTTTACCATCTCCTTCATCTGCCCAGTAACAAAAACAGAGATAAAAGAACAAAGAAACTGAAAGATTTTGGATTTTTAAGAAATAACCTTTTGATCTTCATCGTCTTTAGTGGGAGATCTGAAAGCCCTTTTGACAGCAGTCAACCAAGACGAAGTGCCTCCCTTCTTCCCCATCAAATAATACAGTAAAAACTATAAACGCAGCTGCATTTACATCAAGTATGAGGCTAGGAAAGAGCACAAAGTACCAGATAATGCGATGTGTGGGTGACCGTGGCTTGTACGAAAGTGCCACCTCTTTTAAATCTAAAGACAGAAAACGAAAGTGAGAGAGAGAGAGAGACTGAGGAACGTGACTTGCTCAGCCAAGCTTAAGATTCAATCAAATATTATATCTGAAAGGGTAATCAAATATTATATCTGAAAGGGTAATAAATTTGAAGGCTTTTTCTCTGAAAGGTTAAAACTTTGGTCTTTTTGGGGGCTCTGAAGGACGGTAATGGGTGGTGTCAGAAAGTACGTCCATAAAACTTTATAAAAATCTAAAATTTTATATAGAGGACGTGACAAAATGTGCCCAGAAAATGACTAAGTGGGTTGTGTTTGTAATTGTATACTGTTCTGTGAGTGTGATATCGAGGGGATGTTGAAGACCGAGAGAAAAAGAAAGAAAGAGAGAGCACGTTTAGGCGCACAAGAACCAACATTAATGCTTTTAACTTTTAAGCCAATAATTTTCCTTTTTTTCTCAATTTTTGTGGATAGAAATAGAATAGAAGAGGCTCTCTGGCTTTTTCTCTTTAAAAAATAAACAACTGGGGCATGAACCTCTCATGCTGTCACGTGGTGGTAGCAGTGGTAGCAGCCAGCAGGTAGAGAGGAGGTGTTATAATGTGGTTGATGGACTACGATGGTCCCTCACACTCCACACTTAAAAATTGCATTAACATTGAGTATCCTTTTTAGTAAGCTGGAAACTGCATCTTCTGATCCAGTGAGTAAAATCTGGTGGTCCATTTTTTGGGTCTCTTGGTAGACTTGTGGCTGTAAGTGTACTGGGTTTTGACTGTATTTGGCTATAGAGCTTAATGAAACACATGGTCTTCTTAAGAGTCTTCAACTCTTGGAAGACCAGTCAAACTGTCTGATTTTGATTCCTCTATTCCTGTTTTGTGACCTCATTGTTCCAGAAACCCAAATTTTATAGCAGGCATATGGATCTAGTGTCTGTCCTGTACTTCTTCTTCATTAGTTTTGTACAGAGAGGATAAAAATTATTGCAGATAAATGCTAGGATTTGTTACACACAAATGAATTTATGGTTGGTGTTTAGCTTTACAAGTTTTCTGCTGATATCAAACTTGTTACTTGAGCAAGCTGAAAATTTTGGAGAAAAATAAGTGGGGCTTTGCATTAATGTAAAAAAGAGAGACCCCTTGAGGATTTATGCAGTAAAATTTCCATCAGCTCCTTTCTGTGACAGGGAAAAGCCAATATGACATGGAATTATTGGATTGTGTCAGATTGGCATTCTGATTCTGGTTGGTGATTGATTATATATGGACCCTACAGCTGTAACTTGTAAATACCAAATTTAATTTTTCTTTATCCTTTTATGTATGCATCTAGTCACAATGATATCAGAAGAACCATCACAAAATAGTACAAAGATACCATTGGTTTGGAGTTCTTGTTTCCTTTTTTGTTTTTGGTTCAAAGGGATTGAACCTACTGCATTTATAGATCTTGTTCCATCTTGTTTCTTTTTTCTGTTTTTGGTTCAACTGCAGCATGAGAAATTTCTTCTTGTTGCTTCTCTGATTGCCCCCTGCCGCTGTTGAAGAAGCTTGACAGTACCTCAGAGAGGACAATAATGTTCTTGAACTCTTTGGTCATCTGTAAAAAAAAGTAACAGAATGAAACTGTAAGTAAAGATTCACTTAGAAATGGAATGAGTTTTCCTTCTTGAAGATCACCAACAAAAATGTGAGAACCACAACTCCCCGGCAATCAGGAGACATTTTGGTGCCTTTTTTTCCCACAGGATGGACCACTTGACATAATATTATAAAGAAAGATCATGACATTTGCATAATATGGAAGTCAGCTAGATTGCTTGCAGGTAAAGGCATCTGGCAATAAAATTGGAAGTCCCTTTTCTCTTTAAAAAGATTTCTTAAAACACAAGTGAGAAAGGTATGCAAGATCGGGAGGAGAGTAAGACCGAGGTCTCCGGTAGTAAAACCATGTGGAACAACATACAAATAAAAATCTTGACATCTGTTGTAGAAAGAAGCTATTACAGTTTTGCAAATCAACTCTCCCCAAACCATTTATTTCTCTCTGTAATGTTGAAAATTTGAAATAGTGGGTTCAATTTAAGAAAGAAAATAAAGAGGGGTTTGGTATCCTACTTGGATAGGAAACGCAAAAACTTGTATTTTTTTTTTAAACCAAAGTGTTCTAAAATTCATTTTTTAAGATTCAAAAATGTGTTTGGTTGAATTCTTAAAAACAAATTTTTTTTTCTTTCAAAAAACTCAAACGACAATTGGGTGCCAAAACCTAGGGTTTCCATCTTGGCCTGAAATTCGCAAAACTCTCGAACAGTGGCGGTTCTATGGTTCAAAAGCCGATTGGGCAAAACTTACATACTAAACTTTACGATACGAGTTAATTTCATTAACCTAGTCATGAGGGACATAATGAGCCTTACCCTCAAAATTTTGTTTGGTTGAATTCTTAAAAATAATTTTTTTCAAGAAACTCGAACAACAGTTGGGTGTCAAAGCTTACCTAAGGTTTCCATCTCGGCCTGAAATTCGCAAAACTCTCGAAGGCATTGGGATCGAGTTTCTTGACGATGACGGTGTAAGACTATATATGTCCATGAGTAACCTTGAAATTCGTAAAACCATTTATTTCTCTCTGTTAGATTGAAAATTTGAAATAGTGGATTCTAATTCAGAGAAAAAATAAACATCTCAGCTCAAAGAATATTCTCTTGAACTCTAGTTGGTACAAAGTAGGGCTGGGCATTTGGACCCGAAACTCGGCCAATCCGCCCAAACCAAACCGATGAGTTGGGTTGGTTTGGTTTTTTTCAATTTTTTTTGGTCATCGATTTGAACCCAAACCAAACCGAAATATATGGTTTGGTGTACGGTTTGCAATATTCAAAATCATGGTTTAACCAAACCAAACCAAAGATATTAAAAAATATTATATATAAGAAATATATATATATAATACATAGTTTCAATCTTTTCTTTTTCTTCTCTCTCAATCTCTTCGTTTGTCTTGTCTTCATCAGTCCCTCTATCTCTATTTTTATTTTCTCATTCTTCTTATATATGTCTTCACGCCCTCTCCCCATCTCCCTCTTCTTCTTTTTTCATTCTTCTTCTTCTCTCTCCTTTATTTTTCTCCTCTTCTTCTTCTTCTTCTCATCTCTCTCTATTTTTGTTTTCTCATTCTTCTTGTATATCTCTTCTTCACGACCTCTCCCCGTCTCCCTCTTCTTCTTCTCTCTCCTTTCTTTTTCTCCTCTTCTTCTTATTCTTCTCCATCTCTCCCTCTTTTTTTTTCTTCTTCTCCTCTCCATTGCTTTTATTTCTCTTCTCTTTTTCCTCTCAGAAAACCAAAAAACCGAAACCGAACCAAACCAAACCACCAAGTCCGATTAACCGAAGTAGTCGGTTTTCATCAATTATGATTTGGTTCCGTTTTCAAAATAGCCAAACCGAAGCTTACGGTTAGGTTTCGGGTTGAGTCCAAAACCAAACCAACCCAAACCGAGCCCTAGTACAAAATAAGGAAATCTTCTATACATACAAAACCAAGCTCTCTCAATGTCAGACTATCAGTTGTATTGTATCCAATTACCAAACCTTTTCATGAAGAAACCCAATTTGGCTAGTCATGAGCTGAAGGCAGTTTAGGCCCAAAAGGAAAAAACAAAGAATGAAAAGCTACTGCTTAAAAAGCCCTGAAGATCCACCCTATTACTTGGGCCTAGCAATTTTAGCCCATGAGAGGCTTCTCTTGGTCTCCAACTCCAAACCTGAAAAACAAAAACAAAAACACAAAAAGTGGCACGACCAAATAGTCTCCTCTACGTTTGGAAGTTGGTTGGACCCTATGAATTTAGAATGATTAGGTCAAACAGTAAGTCAATTGAGTGATTAACAACAACATATAATATGTAGCACTCAAATGTCCTCTCTCTCTGGCCAAATTCTCATAGTACAGATATAGATACATGCACTTAATAAAACAAAATTTGAAAGCTAGTTTCCATCCATAGATTAAACAAGCACCAAACATTCTTTGTATTCTAGTTTTTGTTTGTATTCCGACATCCTTATCCTACCGATTTGAAGAAAAAATGTTTCCCCAACACAAATTCTGTTAAAAACTCACATCTCTATGCAGGACCGTTCTTGAGATTTTGAGGGACTTCTACGAAACTTAAACATGCAAATACTTTTTAAAAAATTTCATAACCTAATGTCATAAAACAATCTTTTATGACTAAAATTCTTCATAAATTAGCATGTAATGACAATCAGAAATCAATTTAAAAAAATACGATCATTATACTATATCGTGCTAATTTATGATGAATTAACATGCTGGGGAGGGAGGAGAAAGCGTTTTGGGGAATATATATTGCCAACTCCGCTACAAACACTTTTTTTTTATCAATATGTAGCATGCTAGAGTATATATACTATTGTTATAATATTAATATAATATAATACAAAGAAAACAAAATTTTGGGAGCCCTAAAAAATTAGGAGCTCTGTGCGGTGACGCCACTTGCACACCACTTGAGAGCCGCCGTGCATGCATATGAATTATGTAGGTCACCTCACCACCCGTTAATGTCAATTTGAATGCAACCATTATGAAGATTATGATCCTAAATCAAAACCATTACTCGTTTATAGTATTTGCTTCATGAAAAATGAGAAAATCTGATTTAAATAAACAAAAGAATTATATTATAACAAACAAGTGGGGGAAGAAAGAAAGAACAGAAAGAAAGAAAGAAGAAGAAAAAATAAAGGAATATATCACAGAAGATTGAAAAACTGCAAATGATCGCGAAATAAATATTGGAGTCTCTCTCGCTTTTGATGACCTGATGATAAATTTATGAATTTCTTAACCATTAATCAGCTCATAAAGTTCAAAAGGAATCTCTTACAAATCACGTGTTAGATTGTTGTAGGGCATGGCTGCATGTCCCCTCTTTCCAACCACACCTCATGTTTTCTTGTGTTATCGAAGTTAGTGTTCGTTTGACATTATTTATTTAGGGTAATAAATAATTTTAAAAAA